TCACCTTAAAAATGTGCCCCCTACTCTTGAAATCCCCTATCCTACGGATAAGACACCTACCGTTAATCCTATATATACCCCTCATAAGTTTGTAAACTTTGAAAAGGTCACCTCTCAAAATCTTACACTCCAGTGAAAGACATCCCAGCCTATCCATCCTGTCTTTACAACTTAAACCTTCCATACCCAGCAACATCCCGGTAAATCCCTTCTAAACTCTCTCAAGCTTAGTAATATCTTTCCTATAACTGGGCTATGAGAACTGGACACAGTACTCCAGAAGAGGCCTCACCAATGTGCTGTACAACCTCTCCATGACTTCCTGTACTTAAAGGACTGAGCAAAGGAGGCAAGCATGTTAACCATCCTTTTAACTATCCTATCTGTATGGCATGCAAACTTCAAAGAATTATGCAACTCAACTCCTAGAACCCTCTGTTCTATGGCCCTCCTGTTAATTGTATAAGTCCTCCCACTGTTTGTTGTGCCAAAATGCAATAGCTTGCATTTATCCAAATTCAACTCCATCTGCCATTTTTCAACGCGTTGACCCATTTGATCAAGACCCCATGTAATCTTAGGAAACCTTCTTCACTATCTACACTATGCCATCAATTTTGGTGTCATCCACAAACTTAATAACCATGCCTTCACTATTCTCACTTGAATCATTCATAAATGACAAAGAAAAGTGAACCCAGAACAGATCCCTGTGGAACATCACTGGTGTCAGTCCTTCAGTCTGAAAAACAACCCTCCATCACCACTCTCTGTCTCCTGTCTTAAGCCAATTTTGTATCCAATTGACAAGCTCACTCTGAATCCCATGTGTTCTAACTTTACTAATTGGTCTACGTGTGGGGCCTTGTCGAAGGTTTTACTAAAATCTGAGTAAACAATGTGAACTGCTCTGCCATCATCAATCTTTTTGGTAACTTCCTCAAAAAAAAAATCAATCTAGTGTGTGAGACACAATTTTTCTCCAACAAAACAATGCTGACTATCCCTAATCAATTTTCATTCCTCTAAATGTCGATAAATCCTATATTTTAGAATCACCTCCAACAATACTTTAACATACATCAGAAATTTGGGTATAGTAGTGGTGTACAGTGAACAATAGCATCTTTTTACATTGTACTCTTGATCAATATAACATCTCTAGCAATGGGAGTATAAATAGGCTTTAGATACGGGTCAAATCTGTTGTGGTATTCAATTATATGATGAGTGACCTTCTATATTCGTACCAGTTTTTTATTTTCCTGATCACCATTATCTTTTGATTCTGCAGAGCTTAAAAATCTATTAATCTTAGTCTTTAATATACTCAATGATTGATATCGTTGACCCTCTGGGATTGAGAATTCTGGAGATTCCTAACACTCTGAACAAATACATTATTCCTCGTCTCAGTCTATATTCGTGTCCCTTTATCCTGAGATAATGGTCCAATTTCCTGTTCGTATGCAAGCAAAATTCACGCAGTTTGAAACTGAACAAAACAAATAAGTTTTAACATTTTCACCTCTGGTTTTAAGTGTCCTGTTACTATGTCCCTTATAACAAACTGAAAGTTAGGCGAACTTACCTTTCATTCAATATATTCTTTCTTTTTCATTTTTGAAACAGTATAATTATCTTTGGTATTATCTAATCCAGCGCTGTAGGAAATTCTCAAAGATTAAATCCAATATATCCACTAAGTCTACACCCAACTCTCTTAAAAACCTATGGCTAACAATAAGCTCAACTGTTCCGTTTAACCTTTATTTCAGTTAAGTTCTCCAGTACTTGCTCTTTACTAATAATAATTAATTTGAATTTCCTCACTCTCATTAGAACCAATTTTCCTGTTATTTCTGGTTTGTTATTTATGTTTTCTGTGATGAAGACAGATACAAAACATTCATTTAATGTCTCTACAGTTTCTTTATTTCCAATTTTAATATCTCATATTACTATTGTGAATGAAGCCAGGTTTGCTTCTTTAGACTCTTTGTTTCCTTCAACTTATATTACATTCAAAACTAGGTTACTCTCATATCTACATTTCTCCATCTTCATGAATAACTTGTCATCTTGCCAATTGTGGGTCTCAATGCCGTTGTTAATAATACTGTAAGAGTTATTTCATCAAATGCTACAATTAACCTTTTTGATTTACCCATAGTTTGTCCACGTATCCTGTGGAGACTTTACTTTTCAAGTGAATTTATGTTTGTTGAAAATATTGAATCACATTAAATATTTGTCATTGCTCATCAAGATTCATACATTTTAATCTTATGTCCTAATTTTCCTTGGGCAACCTTTCCTTCTTTAATTGCCTTTGTTTAAATTTAAATCCATGCTTTGAACTTTGACCCATCTGCCTCAAGCTTAATAGGGTATCATATCCTTTTAGTTAAAATATTAAATAATTAAAATAGTTTCTTAATAATTTTGCTCATTCTTTTATGTAAGTTTGCACTGCAAAATGTCTTATTTACTGATAAACAACCTTAATGAAGCCCTGAACCCTAACAATCCATTGGTTGGAGTCATATATAGCACAAAGGAAGATGGTTGTAGGTTTTGGAGACCAATAATTTCGGACATCTCTGCGCAAGTTCCTTAAGATACTGTGCTAGGCAAAACCAACTTCAGCTGCTTCATCAATGACCTCCACTCCATCATTGGATTAGAAATGGAGATTTTTGTACAATGTTCAGTACCATTCATCCCCACAGTGTGGAGACAGGCCATTCCACCCAACAACCACCCAACAAGTCCACACTGAACCTCTGAAGAGCATCCCCTTCCCTTATCCCTGTATTTCCCATGGCTAATGCAACTGACCTACACATCTCTGAACACCATGGGCAATTTAGCCTGGCCAGTATACCTAATTTGCTAATCATTGCACTGTGGGAGGAAACTACAGCACCCAATGGAAACCCACGCAGGCACAGGGAGAATGTGCAAACTCCACACAGACAGTCACTCGAGGTTGGAATCAAACTTGGGTCTTTGGCGCTGTAAGGCTGCAGTGATAACCACTGAGCTACTGGGCCACCCTAAATGACTGAGCCACCATGCCACCTATTCATGACTCTTCAGACAGTGAAGTATTCTGTGTCCATTTGTAGATGATTTGAGCAACATTCAAGGTGTAGGCAGAAGTAAGAAAGTTAATATTCATGCCACAGAAGTGTCAGAAAGTGACCATCTCCAACAAAAGAGAATCTAACCATCTCTCATTGATATTCAAAGGCCTTGCCATCACTGAATTCCTGCATTATTACAGGACTAGCTAGGAAATTGTTCTTCCTTCATTAGTTTAGATGAGTCAAGTCCATGTATTGACTTAATCTATAAGAATATCTCACTATCTCACCTTTCATACACTGTTTTCTGTAAACTTAGACTTAAATGTACTCAGCAAAATTTTACCAGCCAATTTGTAATTTGCACTGGTATCTTGTGATCTTCTGCATTAGTTTAATATAATTTTACTTTTATACCATATCCTCTGTTGTGAAAATAAGTAGACTCATTCCAACCACATAGACAAATAAATAAACCACCTAACAAATGGCCTCTAACGCATATAGTCAGTATTAGGTGTTTGATTTCTTGAGGAACCCTTACCAATTAAGCAAAAACTGTGAAAATGAGCTCAGAGTTTGGATTATGAGGGCATGGCAGTACACAATCCACTTTCCAGAACAAAACGGCAAAGAGGACGTCATAAAACATCATCTTATCTTAGGAAAGAGTCATGTAAGTAAGAAAAACAAATCAGAATTAACAGGAAGAGTCTGAGGGAGGATCACTCAACCTGAAGTGCTAACTCTGATTTCTCTCCACAGATGATGCCAGACTTGCTAAGCTTTTCTGGCATTTTCTATTTTTGTTTCTGATTTACAGCATCGACAGTTCTTTTGGTTTCTTTCATCCAAAATTAACAGGATTGAACCCTCAATAATTGAATCAGTTAGAAGACAGGGAAAGATTACATCAGTCAAAGCCCATTCCCCTTGAGGGTCCATCACAGATTGATCCCACACTTCTTGAGAAAATTAACATTGATTCTTCCCTCATTAGAACATCGATAATGCAGTGGGTTGTTGTATGGAAAGTGTTAATAAACAGCAGCACTCACGGGTGACTAAATGGATAGCAAATTTGAAACTGAGTTTAGTAGAGCCTGCTGTTTTGTCAAAAAATAAGACTGCATAGATGTTGGACCAATACAAGATACTCCATTACTTATACTCTTTGCCCATTCATTTATTTGGATATGTTTTGATATATACATGGATTTGAGTTAAATTTGTAAGCTGAAATTTCCAATGGTCACGATCAAAATCCTGGAGGTTTCAACTGAACAGCAACTGAACTGGACAAGCCATATGAATGCTGCAAAGAGAGAGTCAGAGGCTTTGAATTGGGTGCTAATTTGCCCCGCAGCCCGTCCACCATCTACAAAGCACAAATCAGATGTGTGATGGACGACAAATCACCTGCCTGGATAAGTGCAGCTCCAAAGTCACTCAGGAAGTTTGAGATCATCCAGGAAAAAATAGCCTGCTTGATTGGCACCCTACCGACCACCTTCAACGTTCCGTCTTTCGATAACCACACACAGTGTCTGCGGGCTTTATCATCTAAGATGCACTGTAGCAACCCACCAAAGCTCCTTCAACAGCACCTTCAATGGCACTTGATTGGGTGGTAGTGTCCCTTCCTCTGACATTGGCTTTCCGTGTTCAAATCTCACTTTCTCCGGAGGTGTGTCATAACATACCTGAACAGTTTGATTGAAAATAAGGGCAGCAAGAGACAAATATAATCAGAGTGGCTGCAGTCCCATCTGCTACCACTGGGAATGCACTATCTCACCACTCCACCGTCTGACTGAAATGGTGTCGCTCTCGGTAGAATACAACACCGCTGCAGTCTGCAGGTGGCGCTGTTGCAGGAAGGAACAGTTTCAATCGACGAGCCGAGTGTTGCCGGGAAATGTAGTCCGCGGCGAGACAGCGACTGCCGGTGATACCCTGTGTTTGGAACATTTGGTCCGGGCTTGGAATGAGCTCCAAGAGGGTACGGAGTGACCCGGGAAATGGGGTCGGAGGGAAGAGACAGCTGAAGGAGAGGGAGCTTGTGGAGCTGAACTCATTGCTGTTGGAAACGAAGGAGCGTGTGAGCGAGGCCTGGAGCCGGGGACTCGAGTACTCACATGGTGAGGGGAAGCGAGGGGTTTGCATAACAGCCAAGGGAGGGCAGTAGGCTGGAAAAAGGGGACCTCAGAGTAACCGAGGCCGGTGAAACAATTCAAATGCTATCTTAGTTCAGTGGATAGTCTCCTGTGTTGGCCAGAAGACGATGAAGCACAATGCAGAAACAAACACAGAAATTGCTGGAAGAACTCAGCAGGCCTGGCAGCATCTGTGGAGAGAAAGCAGAATTAACAGTTGGGGTCAAGTGACTTTGTTTTAATGTTTAAAGTACTGAATGCAGTATTGATAAGAGTGGTTTATTGGCGACGTGCTGGTTTGAGATGACACGTTAGCCGTGTTTTTTTGTGACCGTAATTGCAACTGAGTTAACAACGTTAGACATCTTTGAGTTTCGGATATTAATAGGAATATCTGAATTTTGCATGTGCGCAGTTACATGATGAAATGCCCAAGTTGCTGTTAGTTGAAGTTCCCTGGTCTGAAATCAATGAGTTTCTGAACAGACAAATTTGTACTTAATATCGCTGTAAAAACCTTTGACAAGGTTACACTTTGTTGACTAAGATCTGATCTCCCACTCTCAAATTACTGAACAGCTTCAGTGTCAGTGGAAAACTAATTTTATATTTGTAGATTGCCAAATTTATTCACGTTTAAAACATTTTATGTTTAAAGAAAGTTATCTTTGCAGTTTACAGTTACATCCCATCTATATTTTCCAATAATTTATTTTGCTTTCAGCAAAGTTTTGATCAAGGGTAAAAATTTGACTGCATTTTTCTCGCTAATTTCCTGTGGATGAGAATATTACAGTCTGGTTACCATTCTCAACAATATCACTGCTGGATTTTGGATTTGGCACCAGATTCAGATTAATGTTGAGAAAGTGGAAAGCCATGCCTCATAAATTAGTATATCATTGTGTGCAGCTTCCTATGAGGTCAGTAGTGAGTGCTGTTGCTTCACCGATAACTATGAAATCCTCAGCTTGTGTTCAGTGAAATTTAGAGCTGACTGCATCGGTTGTGGTGGAGCATGGAGGTCTACTACTGTTCCAAAAAACATTTATCCCTCAACCACTCCACTAAAAATGAATGAACTGGCCATTTACGTCTGCAGTTTGTTTGAGAGCTTGCTGGGGGAAATGTTATCTGTGTCTATGTAATTGGATAGACAACAATTCAAGATATAATTGTGAACATTCAGAAATGTGTGGGTTAATCAAGGGCAATCAGCTTGGATTTGTTAAATGAATGTCATGATTTGCAAACATAATAGGATTTAAGTTGGCAGAGATAGCTGGATGGAGAAAGGAATGTGTTAAGATCTGTTTATGGATTTTTCAAAAGACGTTTGATATGTTGTCTTACAAAATGGCTTGCCAGAAAACATCAAGTACTTAATGAGGAAGTGTAATGGAGCCTCAAAACCTAGCAACATGGACAAAAAGATCAGCGGGTAGACAAGATGTCAGAAGTTAGAGAAAATGGATGTTTCTATTGGTCCCTACTTTGGCAGGCCACTGGTGTTAAGGTATCAAATCTAGGGATCCATTTATATACATGTATGATGGATTTCTGTATTAAGTATAGAATCACTGAGGAGCAAGCTCAGCTATGCTATTGTCACTAAGATTACAGTGTGGATCTGGCATCAGGTGCTTGATTGCCTTTGGAGAGAAGTGGTGTGAAGTTTTCCAGACCTTGCAGCCTCATCAGGGTTGGGTTAAACAGTTGGGTGCAACTCTTGTGCCAAACCTATGTCATAAAATGCACAAGAAGTCTATTGGTCTTCTTGAACATATTTTAAATCTGAGTATGTTTGATTTAAAGGAAAGTGTAAATGAACTGACTGCCCCAATCTGTGCATTCCAACACGAATGGCTAGAAAGAGAGCTCATCATATCTAACCTAGAAAATTCCAGTCAAACCAGGTCGTAAAATGAGAGAATACCATTGAAATAGTGTACAGATATTTCTTCTTCATAGTCTTTAAGGGTCTGTTAATTTAATTTATGTTTTACTTTTACAGATGCTTAACGTTAATAAAATATTACATTTCTGTTATATTTTGTTAACAAAACTGCTCCTTGCCAAGGTATTTACTGGAATCTTTGCTCCTTTCTTAACAGAGAAGGGCCTTGCAGTGGGCACACAGCCATTTGCACATTGCGTGATATCAAATGTTATCCAGAGACACAGATTACTGGAGGGTCTTCAGAATGAGCTTCTCCAGATGAACTTCTGTGAAAAATCGAACGATCTCTATCAATTCAAGCAGGTGAGAAAGAGATTGTGTGAAGCAAAGGTTTGGTAGGAGAAAGGTAGCAAAATGGGCAGGAAATTTTGATAATCTGCACAACAATCAAATTGAGCCATGGAGTTAATGGTTCCATTATTTGCTGACTTATTGAATGAAAGGACTTCATGGTGCTCTGACTATATAGGAGTAATGAAAGCTAAGAGATTTTCTGTATGGCAGAAGGATCAGATACTGTGGTATAATGAAGGACTCAAGTGGAGTGAACACATTGAACTAATAAAGTAAGATGAAGGAGAGAACTGATTAATTTGCATTTACGTCATGCCTTGTCACAACCCCTGATGATTTTGAAGCCTTTTACAGCCATTAGAACTTTTGAAGTGCTGTCACTGTTGTAATATAGGGAGGTATTTGCACCACAATATTCTTGGAATGATGTAGATGAGGTTATCCCAGTAGGGTGCAAACCCTGGAGTAATGTTACATGTGGTAATCTTTGTTCAGTAGACATGCTGGAGTAACATAGAGAGAGGTGATTGGATGTTAAAAAAACCTTTCCAGAATCATGTACAACAAACATATTACCTGTTCAATCTATCCATCTACAACTGCTGTTGTCATATATAATATCTTACAGCAGATCGTATACTGTGGGAGTTTTCAAATATTTGCAAGTGCATAATATATTCGCAGAAAAATCCACGGTGAACCCCCATATTGTGATGTCTGAAAGGGCTGTCTGTAAACATTGGTGAGATGTGATTTCCCTACAGAGTTGACAGAGTGAGACTTTGGATGTGAACATTCATAACTAATTAAGCTTCAGATGCAGCTACTAAGGAAGAGGTATAAAAAGTATTTTTTCAGGTGGAAAGAATATGATGATGTTTTAGACATAAATAATATGTCCCATTCCTCTCACAGTCTGATGACCTCTGGAAGAAGGAAGAATATCACATCTCAGCATTAAGATGAGTCACTGGGAAAACATCTTTTCTAGGGCACAAAATGAACTAGATAATTGGACTGAAATGCAGTGTTTTCAGGCGAGATTTCCTTGTGACAGCACTGATTTTAAGTTGAATTGTCCTGGGTATGCTTTGTATATGTTGAGGGAGCTAGTGTGGAAGTGAAGTTGACACCACTGAGAGCAGGCTGTTGTTGCACAATTGGGTGAAATGTAATAATGAATAAGCTAGTTGAAAGAGTTAATGGCAGAAAGTAAACTATATCTTGATAAAAATTTAAGAAACAAATTGATCTCAGCTATGTTACTGTACAGAAGCCTAGTTATTGTTGCTTTGATTTGGTTTTGATTTCTGCAAGCGAGTATTTCTTCAGTGCAAATGCTTGGAATCACTTCCAAATATATGATTTCTGCCTTTTCCCAAAAATGTTTTCTCCTTTGGCCTTATGTACCAGGCATTTTCTCTGGCTCAGATTGATCAATATAATCCTTAATTTTCATATTTGTTTATTTAAACCTTATCCCCGTACCATTAGTAACTGTTCTTGCCCCATACACTATTTTGACCTCTACAATAAGAGATAACAGTGTGGAGCTGGAGAAACACAGCAGACCAGGCAGCATCAGAGGAGCAGGAAAGTTGCCGTTTCGGTTCGGGACCCTTCTTCAGAAGATATGTTCAATTTCTCTGTATGTCCACTCCACATTCGAATTTTTGGAAGGCTCTTTGCTTCTTCCTTCAAAGGAAGCCTGAACAATCACCATCCAGCACCAAGAGCCTTCACTTGGCTGAGGTCATTCTCACTTCAAACAATTTCTCTTTTAACGTGCCTCACTTCTCCAAGTCAAAGGTGTAGCTATTGGTACCTGCATAGGTCTCAGTTATGCCTGTCCCTTTGGCATATGCAGAACGTTCCTTGCTGCAGTCCTACTCGGGGTTCCCTCTCACTAGTCTTTCTCCAGTACATCAATTACATCATCAGTGCTGCTTCCTTCTGTCACCTGGAGTTGGAAAATTTAATCAAATTTGCTTCCAGTTTTCATCCTCTTCACTTTGTCCATCTGTGACTCTTTCCTTCCCTTCCTTGATTTCTCTAATTCCATTTCTCAGGATAGGGGAGGTGATGGTCTCATGGTATTATCACTGGAATGTTAATCCAGGGACCCAGGGAATGTTCTGGGGACTCGGGTTTGAATCCCACCATGGCAGATGATAGAATTTGAATTCAATAATAATCTGGAATTAATATTCTAATGATAACCATGATACCATTGCCGGTTGTTAGGGAAAAAACATCTGGTTCACTAATGTCCTGTAGGAAAGGAAACTGCCATCCTTACTTGGTCTGGCCTACATGTGACTTCAGACCCACAGCAATATGTGGTTGACTCTTACCTGCCCTCTGGGAAATTAGGGATGGGCAATAAATACTAGCCAAACCAGTGAAGCCCAAATCCTATGAATGAATAAATAAAAAAAGGATAGTAATATCCAGTACGGGCCTACCGATTCCCACAATTAACTTGACTACACGTCCCTCTCACATTGCTTTCTCTAAGGACCACATTCCATTCTCCCAGTTTCTCTATCCCTTGTATCTGTAGTGCTGATCCTGCATTCTACAAGGATGCCTCTGATGTATCCTCCTTTCTCTTCAACTCAGGATTTCCTGCTACTTTGGTTGTTGGGGGCCTCAGTCATGCTTGACCCATTTCCCCCAATTTTGCTGTCATCCCTTGCCCTCCCTCCTCAAACAATGATAACAGTTCCCTTTGTTCTCACTTTCTACCACACCAGCTTTTCCATTCAAATGATCATCGTCCTCCAGCAGATTGCTATCACCAAACACACCTTACCCTCCCCTTCCTTGTCGGGATTCTGCAGGGGCCACAACCTCCATGACATCTGGTCCAATCTTTCTTCATGCCTGACACTCCCTTATACCACCCTGATGCATTTGCAGAAGGTGTAACGTGACCTTTACTACCTTATTGTCCAAGGTTCCAAACGTATCATTTCGGTGAAGCAGCATAAAGACTTGTCATTCTTTTAATTTATCTACTCTGTTCTCTGCTCTCTGCTCACAATGTGGCCTTCCCTATGTTGGCAATACCAAACATAAATTGTGTAACCACTTTGTAGAACACCTTTACTCTGTCTGTCAGAATGAGCGCAACATTGCAGTTACCTGCCATTTCAATGCACGGTCTTTCTGGCATGCTAACATTTCCGATCTAAGCTTGCTGCAATGCTCTAGCGAACCCCTTCTCAAGTTGTAAGGTTGAGTCTCATCTTCTGTTGGGTACTTTACAGCCTTTTGTTGTTACTTGAATGAGAATAGCTGATCAGGACAGTCTGAGTGTTTTCTGTTTTGTTGTTCACTAGACCCAGAACAGGGCTGTATTTGATGTTATGCCAGAGGACTGTCAGCATGGACCAGTTTGGGCTGAAGGACCTGTTTCCATGCTGTGTTACTCTATTACTCTGTGTACTTCTTCAGTCATGCAATACAACTCAACTATATTGGCATGGAATATACTGGAGCAAGACCTGATCTTATAACTCCGATCACAAGAAATGAATGCTGTCAAGTAGGCTGAGCTAATGTTAATTTTTGTTGGAATTTGCGCAGGAATGCTCAGATATCCTGTTGAGGCTGATCTGGAAGCATTTGCATCCACCAGCTGTGGGTGTTGACCCACATTATTTATGTTTTGCACAAAATATTCTTTCTCATATGAAACAGGATGCAAACTGAAGTTTAAGTCACATAGCCCTCTGAGATTGACTTCATTCTCATTGGAGGGAGGTAACTGGTGGTGATTTAACCTGAGGTTTACCATGCTTCAGGTGACAGAAAAGTTGAGAAGGAGGATTCTTTGTGGCAACCTCAACTTCTGTAGGAATTTGAGCCCATGCTGATTGTGTTGTGTCACTCTGTTAAACTGCAATTGAAAAGCTTAAGCTGTGCTGAAATTTAAACTGATGCTGTCGCAGATGTGTTGCTCTGTCTCGATGATGAATTAGAAGGGTGGAGGATAGCGTTCATCCTGTGTCTTGTTCCTAAATGGGGAACTAGAGACAGTGGAAATTTGGACCTTTGTGGTCCAGATGGTAAGTAGGATTAATAATTATATGTTCCAACTTTAATCCTGACCCAGTAATGCCTCCATCCCAGAAATGTTTATCTGGCTGCCATCGTAATTCTGCCTTTCAGTTTTATGTTGAACTTAACAGCAGTTGTTCAGATTTGTAAGTTTGTGGATATCCTGGGACTGAATGCTGGGCATAACCATTGTGTTATCACAATGTACCTGTGCAAATGCAAGTAATATGAGTTAATACTCTTGGTAGTATTTGGGGTCTTTATGGACAGTGAGGTTACATCAGGGTAACTGTATCTCATGGGACTTGGGCAAGTTTCTAATGGAATTCAGATATTCTCATGACCAGACAGTTGCTGGAAGCAGAGTGGATTGAGATGCGCATTGGGACCTTGCAGAATCCCAGACGCAGCAGAATCCATGAGAATTATCTCGTAAATTGAAGATTCTGATTGGCATTTCTCCTACACCTGGAAATCTCTGAACGAGTCAGAACACCAAAGAATTTGGTGGGTTCCAAATCAGTTATAATAATTACATGTGAAAAGTTAGAGGATTAAAGACCTACTGTAACTCCCAGGTAAGTGTTAAATTGATTCCCCGACTCAATATTCAACCACCTCCCCTCCACCACCCCAATCCCTGCCAACATCACTTCCTTAAATCACCCTGACAAGTATCCCTGGCCTGAAAACCCAGAACCTAACCCTCGATAGAAGCCCCAGAGCTGGCATCCTTTGCCACCAGCCTGACTCTCCCACAACCTATTGGCTGGGTTGCACCTTCAGGACCTGATCTGAATCTCTTGGACCTGATACCCACTCCTGACTATTAGCCTGATATCCCCTGACCCAATAGCCCCTCCCTGTGGTGGTCAGAACACCCAGGACTTGACACCTGGCATCTGCCTATGATGACTGCTGGGTTCTGACCCTCCTACTCCCTTCAGATGTCACCATTTCGTCCCCCACTACTGGACCAA